GTCAACGAGAGCCTCCTCACGCCCCTCAACCTGGAGATCGACCCCAACGCGCAGTGCGTGAAGCAGGAGGAGAAGGAGCAGATCAAGTGCCTCAACAGCAGGTTTGCGGCCTTCATCGACAAGGTGGGTGTCCTGGATCACACCCTTCCTGAACCTGGCGGTCCTGGGAGGAGATGGAAATTCCCAGAGTGGTCTCCCCAGAAATGGGGAATGAGGACGGCTGATATTTTATATAATTTTAGGCGGTGCCGGCCCATAGTATTAAATAACACTGAAACATCTGGTAAGAAAATACATCTTCTTTAATGTCTGTTTCAATCCTTAAGATTAGGTGGGAAAAAAATCTCATTGGATGCTAATGTTTTTAGCATCTCTCTAATACTTGCTTCCCTCCTGCTTCTAATAAAGAGAGCAAGCCCTGGCTTCAGAACTGTCTAGGACAACTGTTTCTGCTAGAATTTAATGTTCTGTAATTTCCCTTTATGTATGCCTAGTGATGACGGTTTTACATCTCTAGTGGTAATATGAAGTTACTCTTTTAACCTGATATGTGTAAATGTTAATTGAATCAACCTATAGGCAAATTAGGAGTAAAATAGTATATGGGATGGCAAAATCCTGAAGTCAGCCTTGAGTGTACATAGAAGAAAAAGGAGGCAGAGAGAGGTTGAAGGGCTGGTCCAAGGGCCCACAGAGAGTGGGTGCCCAAGCAGGGTTCTAAGCCCAGGCCCTCTCCAACTCTCCAGACCCTGGGCTAGAAGGTCCACAGCTTGGGACCCCAGCTGCCCCACTCCCTCTAGAAGGGGCTGGTTCACCTCAACAGGCAGTGCACCCTGGAGAGGTGACCAAGAAGTGGTTCATGGAATGAACACTGGCCCAGGAGCAGGCGACCTGGCCTCCATGCTCAGTTCCTCTACTGACGCACTGTGTGGCACTGGGCGGCACTGGGCAGAGGCTTCCCTTCTCCACCCCAGTGGCTTCCTCACCAGGGCTGTGTGTGGTGCAGCATGTGAGCTGGCCATGACTCTGAAAGAGAAGATAGGGCCCAAGGCAGCCATAAGACCCTATAGCCAAGACCACCTAAAATTATCCCATGTAATATCAGCAGTCCCTGCTCCCCATGTCTGCAAGTTCCAACCTGGGAATTCCCAGCTGCACTCATGGAGCTGGATGAAAAGGACCCCAGGGCTTAAAGGCAGGGAGGCATCTCAGCTCCAGCTCAAATGTATGAGAAGTGGAAAACTGGAAGCCAAGGTCCCTAGTTTGTTTGCTGACATCCTTTCTAGCCAGCACAATGTATTGTTGCCATGTGTTCCTCCCATTTCAGTGAAATCCAGGAAAAGCGTACAAGCCTCACTTCCCTAGGGTCCCCACCCTCCCTGTTTTCCAAAACCTTCCCCCATTCACATTACCTGTCTGGCCCTCAGAGACATATGACACAGTGTCCAACATAAGAGTTTAGGCCACCTAGTACCACGCCCTGCACTCCTGGATGCCTTTTCAGGCCCCAGGCATCCTGCTTGGTAGAAGCCTAGCCTCTTTGACCTCCCCAGCTAGGAAGCCCTTCCCACCTTGACCACCTGTTCAATCAAACGTTCACCAAGCCAAGGGCTGGCTATAAGGACATCAATAAATAAGCCATAGGCCCTGCCCTGAGGGAGCTTATAGTGAAAGGCATTCTCCCTACTCTATCCCTCCAAACACTGCTCTGCATTCCTTTCCTCCAGGAAGTCTTCCCTAATTGTCACTACCCCCTACCCCCATCTGTCCCCTCCTAGCCTGACAGTAACCCAGCACAGCCCACAGGCCTCTCAGTTTCTCACTCATCCCATCCAGGCCCACCTGGACAGACCCTCACTTAGGCCCGAATAAGCAATTATGAAACAAGGATTCTCCCGCTGCATCCTCAGGACAGGAGAGGCCAGCAGGGGCCATGTGGTCTACCCCTTGCCTCTGCACATCTCACTGCCAGTTCTGTCTTGCCTCTGGCTGTTCCCCAAGGAGGGCTGGGGATATTGACTCCTCCCACTGACTTTTCTCCCACTTCCACACCAGGTGCGCTTCCTGGAGCAGCAGAACAAACTGCTGGAGACAAAGCTGCAGTTCTTCCAGAACCGTGAGTGCTGTGAGAGCAACCTGGAGCCCCTGTTTGAGGGCTACATTACAACTCTGCGGCGGGAGGCCGAGTGCGTGGAGGCCGACAGCGGGAGGCTGGCCTCAGAGCTCAACCACGTGCAGGAGGTGCTGGAGGGTTACAAGAAGAAGTGAGTGCAGTGGGAGGAGGGTTTGGAGAAACTAAATGGGATTGAGTCAAAGTATGATAGATTTGGGTTAGACCACAAGAGGAACTTCCCAACAGGAAGAAAATAGTACAATAATCCTGTGGGGTGTGGGGAATTTCTTTCCTAGGCTGGGAGTTTAAACATTGGAGATTCTGAACTGCTCCAG